CAATATTAATTAAACAAATATGATTTCTCCTTTAATATATTATTCTTATAACTATTAATAAATCATAATAACGTATCTCTCTTTATTTATTTCTCCAATCAAGTTGCTTTGGTGAAGGCAACCCAAAATGACCATGCACCATCGGGTCAAGTACATACCAAAATAGTTATGGACTTAGACACTAATCCAATATATTTGAGTTGTATGTCCATGAAAATGTAATCTTGGATGTAAATATTGAGCCATGCATGAGATCTAGATCTTTGGAGGAGAAAGGAAAGGTGTTAGAGGGTGTAGGAGCCTTTACAGCCATGCCAAGGCTTAAAGGTTCTAACTTTATGGGATAAGAGGCTTAAGGAGAGCCAGATCTGGAAGTTGAAGGAGTGTCTTAACCATTTAAGACCAAAATCCATGGAATGGCTGAAACTGAGACTTACACTGGGCGTAACTCTCAGTACGCGCAGCGTAAGGAGGTGAGACCCCCGATTGGAGTTCATCGATGTACGCCCCGCGTACTGTTGGCGGTTGACTTTTGTTGACTTTTAGGGTTTTGGTCAACATGTGGACTTTGAGTCAATGAGGGGTGAAATGGTCTTTTACCCCTCTTTGTGATAATGAAAAAGGTGTAGCTTAGTCTTGGAAGCCTACATTAATTAGAATGATATTTCATCGTGAATAGGCGGGGTTGGGTCATCGTTTCGAGATTCGGAGATATCGAGCACGTGAGATTCTAGACTTCCTACGAGGTGAGTCTTCTCACTATACTGTACCCGGAAGGGTATCTATGTGTGACCGGAAGGTTGGATATGTTATAAGTTGTATGCATTGTATGTGATTAAGTTAACCGTTTGTATGTGCTATGTATCTTATGCATGATATGGGCCGGAAGGCATTATGTTATGGACTGGAAGGCATTGTGATGTGGACCGGAAGATCGACACGGGTATGACCGGAAGGTTTTCCGGGTCGGGACGGAAGTCCCCTGAGACACATGGACCAGAAGGTCATGGCCTGGAAAGGCATATGTGCGTAAGTAGTATTTTGGGGAACTCACTAAGCATTTATGCTTACAGTTGTTGTGTTATGTGTTTCAGGTACTAGCGAGGACCGTGGGAAGGCACCGGCGTGACCTGCTCACACAAACGGAAGATTTATTTTATGATCTTGGGATTTGACATATTTTGTATTATGATACATTGGATTTTATGGCTTGTTTTGGATGAAAACATGTTTTAAGAAATGAAAATTTTGTTTTGAAAATTCACGTTGTTACAAGTTGGTATCAGAGCCTTGGTTTGAGGGATTCGGGTGCACCTACGGGCGTAACTGAACTCAAACTGAGGATTTGAGAAAAAATTCAATAATAAAAGTATGAAATTTTTTAAGAGATTTTGTGATAACCAAAGAGAAGCAGTTTGTACGGTCAGCTAGCGCCCGAACGGTAAAATCCCCAAAATACCCTTACAATATGTGTTATGGTCGAAAACGTTTTTATCATTTGAAACATCAAGAAAACCGTTTCAACTAAAGATCCAGATTCTTTTCTTCTTTACCCGAACAATAAAAACGTTTTCGACCATTTTATCACAGTAAAACATAAAAACTGTGTCAAATAAAATTTATAAAACTACCTTTAATCATCTTCATATCATACTAACATATTCATATACTAAATCTTGAATAACTTATTATAAAACAAGTTTAAATTCACCATTTTTTTTACCAAAACATAACATTTGTTTTTCACCAAATTCGATTATTCCTTAGCCGAAAAGAGACATAGGATTGAACCAAAATACATACTCAAATCCTATAAACCTACTCAAACAAGTTAATCAAACTCAAATCGAAGAGACATACCTGAATTTCTAAAATAGCTTTGAAAACCTTCATGAACTTCAAACCCCGATTTCTCTTTTGTTTCCCCAACCTTTCTTGCACTTTTTTGTGGGCATTACACTCTATTTCCCATGCCTTTTATAATGCTCAAGTTTGTAATCTTTCTAGTTAACGCAAAAGTCCAAATTTATGATACTAATCAAAGTGATGGGTTTTGTAATTAAAATTCCATAATTTCTCTATTTACTCCTACTTAATCACCATTATATTATTTTAATAATATAGTCAAATTATATATATTTAGACATTTTTGAGTTTGAGTTATCACATTAGGATGTTAGGTTATCGGTCTGGTTCAACTCGGGTCCCTTTAATATATAGTAAAATAATGGAAAAATTAAAAGGTACATACTAATGTAAAGTAATTATCTATAAGGACCAAAATAAAATTTTTACTAAATTTTGTAGATTCAAAATCGTTTGAGGAGGATATAATTAAATTTAGGGACAATTAGAAAATAATATCAATACCCTTTAATATGTAGTAAAATAATAGAAAAACTTAAATGGTGTGTGCTAATGTAAAGTAAATATCTATGAGGACCAAAATGTATTGTTTACTAAATTTGTAGATGCCAGTGATTCAAAATCGATTAAGGGATGATTAGATCAAATATAGGACGATCCAAAAAGTTTTAATTATCTTTTTCGGCTCCAAAATCGCTTTAGGGTTCAGAAAAGATCGCACACAAAATTCAAGAATGTGTTTAGTCTCCAAAATCAAGCGGGAAGTCTTCATCTTTCTCACCGCCAAAACCATATAAAATCGATTCGAGAAAGCTAATGTCGAGATATTAGGTATCCTCGTTGAAATTGGGAAGTGATTATTTTCATCTCTATAAACAAGATTGATTTATTCAATCACTTTTATCGTCTTCTCTAGTGTCAAAGCATATCAGCTACAAGGGTTCTTCCACCAAGATTTGTTCTTTATTCAATTGTAAGTCTCAACGAACGTTAACTTTAATCTTCTGTTTTTGTATGCTTAAAAATGTTATTGACATAGTTTTATGCCATTTCGGAAATTAGTTTTTGAACACAAGTTGTGCTTGTTGCACACCAATTGTTTGATGAAAAGCCTAAATCAAAATTTTATATTAAATATCATTTTATGGTATATTATTCCTTAATGACATACTAATATAACTTGTATGGAAGGAGAAAACACATTGATTGAAGATGTGCCTATATTGGAAATGGAGGAGGACCAATATGATGGATCTGATCTAGATGATTCAGAACATGATGACAGATGATCTAGATTACACTTACAGTGATTCCGATAGCAACACAGAGACGACAAATGAAACAAGGAAGAGGAGCTTAACTCAATTGCCAAAGTTACTGACCGAACATACAAATTTGGAAGGTTTGTAGGGTAGTATAGATCACAACTACCTAGTTATCTGGGAGACCTAGCACGGGAAAGGGTAGGAGTTAGTGTTTTTAACTAGAAGAAGGTAACAAAAGAAGTTACCGAAAAACTATGGGAAGAGATAACGGTAAATAATGTTTTTTATATGTAGTGCATATGTTATTCTTATTCTCCAATGCAATTTCATTCATGATTCAACGCCTAACATATTAGTTATTCGTATTTTAGCATTATTTTGAAATTGAAGATAGTCGAAGAAAATATATAATGAATTAGTTTGGTATCCTTCTACGGAATTTTAGAAGAAAATTGTGAGGAAAGTACATAAAGCGCGATTTAGAGAATACTACCAAGCTTAAAAGAATTCCTAAACGATATTGTACAATAATCCTTAGCCAAGATCATTAGGACAAGTTCGTTAAACACACACAGTCTGAACAATTCAATGTTAAATTCCTTTTTTTTTCATTATCACTTTTATTTTATAGTTTCTGAAAATAAAAAATACTTATAAGATCCGTGAATTTATTTTTTGGAAGCATATGTCGACAAAGATGATAGAAGCGTGTTCTAAGTCGGATCATAATCAACGGATGGGACGGGGAGGATATACGGCTTTAAGAGAGAAACGGGGAAGTTCTATATTTTATTTAATTATGTATGTCTATATGTGTTTGTTAGTCAAAACTGTGAAAATGGAACTACCAATTAGAGCATTATGTCACCAATGGAGTAATTAAAAAGTATGGACAATTTTAACGCCAAGCGTATTTTGGGAAAAGTTTCCTTATTTTATGTTTTGGTATTTGTTTAAGTTTTGTTTTTCTAGTGGATGTATTTAATTATGTTTCTTTCATGTTTACTATAAATAGGAGTAATATCTTAATTGATTTTTAATTGAAGTTCATGTTTAATAAGTTTGATAAATTTTGTTTTGTCCCCTGTTCTTTTACATCACCTGATCACGTATTCGTATGAAGTTTTGAAGAACAAAGACCTGCAATTGTTCTATTTGTGCATCCGGTTTTAGTTTCTCTTGAAAGACCCGGTGAACAAGTCAATTTTCTAGAAGTTTTTCTGTCATTTATTCGTCAATTCCTCTCCCCTATTTTCTGTCATGTTGCTATCACAAAGTCTAATACCAAAAAGAACATTTCAAGTATACTCTTCTTTCCTAATTATATGGATTTTAAATAATACCCTTATATTTATTAGGTTTTTACAAATTTGATACAAAACTTTTTTTATTACACTACATTTAAAGACAATATAATAAGAATATTTCACAATAATAACCAAAATAAATTATTTTTACGTAATTAAATTCGATGTAGTTATCATATTAACAAAATTAGCATTTTATCACATAGAAAAGAAATTAACAGCAATTTTGGAGTTTTTCATATAATAAACTAAAAATACATAATATTATATAAGGATAATACATAAAGACATGAAGTTATCAATAATAATAATAAAAAGTCAATGATGAAATGCCATCCCGATCATTAATGTGGTGTAAAAGGAGATGTCTCTATCTTTCTGAATAACTACATACTTTACAATAGAACACATAAACATATTGTTATTGGATTATATATATATATATATATATATATATATATATATATATATATATATATATATATATATATATATATCGTAACTTTTACGACTTGATAACTATGATTACTAGGTAAATAATAAAGTACATGCCAAAGATGAAATGCCACCCCGGTCATTAATGTGGTGTAAAGGAAGTGAAAACAAAGCACACGAAATACAATATGTTAATGTAAAAATCATGGCAGAAAAACTAGTAAGTTATTGAAACTTTCTCCTTTGTTGTTGGACGATGTTAGAAATGTGACTTGTTAAATAAATATTGACGATGTTAGTTTGATATCATTTTATGTATAGGTGGAACATGAAAAACAAATTAAAGATGGAGATTTGAAACTTGATCCTGGGATGGATGCCATGTCACTAGTCTTTGTCAAGGATAATGATGGATTCTTAAAAGGGGTTGGCACATGTGTGACTACTAGTAGATATTTCAATATTCCTATAACCAAAGGATCTTCAAAAGAACAAATTGTGGACCTAAAGTTTGAACTACAGAATGAGAGACTAGAGCTTCAGAAAAAAGATGAAGAACTTAAAGCGTTCTCGACAAAGGTGAAAGAACAAGATAAAACACTAGAGATAGTTTTAGCTCATCTTGAATCACAAGGAAAAATGATACCAAATCTAACATCTCATCCGAATCAGTCTCCAACACAAGTAAGTGAATTGTTATTGTTTTTGCAAAAATGCATTTATTGCATAAATTGACATTTTTCCTTCAATTTTGTAGGTATTTTCAGTGGACAAGAATGTTCAATCTCATGCCTCTCCTATTACTAATACTATCACAGAGAAAGCACAGATCACAGATAAAACATTGACAAATGAACCAGTTACACGAGTAAGTAATTATTTGACAAATTCATTGATTTTAATATTTTTTGTAGTACTTTGTAAGTAATTATTTGAAAATTTCATTGATTTTAATATTTTTGTAGTATTTTCTGATTTAAATATATTATAAAATTATTGTTTTCCAGGTAATGACAAAAACCAGCAAAATAATTGTTGAATCTAAGAGTGTGACTACAAATTCAAATCCAAAAACAAAAGATACTCATTCACCAAAACTCCCATAGGTATGTATTTTAAAATGCAAATATAAATATATGTTTATTCTTTTTTTATCTAAATATGTGCAAATATTATAGACAATGAAGACGATAAAGTGCATTCTAGAATATCCAAATAACAGAAGCAATGTTGCTTATGGTACGGTTTACATCTCTTCAGAAAGACAAGTCATTCATGGAGTTCCACTTCAAGACGACTGCTATAAAATATCAATTGATGAAGTGATAAAGGGAGATGCATTTTTACCGTATCAAAACGGTGATATCAAAACAGTTGAGGAGGCACATCAAACTTTTGTTGCATGGCCAAAATACATTATCAAATATGATGAAAAGGTTTGTTTCTTCTATTAACTACTTTATGCATTAAACGTTTTTCCTTTGGAAACTAGTCTTTTAAATTATTAGTTATTCAAGTTTGGTTCAATGTTGCTACAGATACCACATATGAGATCAACTCAAAATGATAATGTAAAAGCTCCAAGAAGCAAAAAACACGTTTATAACGAGAGATAGCATTGGCAAGCATACAATGAGCACTTTCAACAAGACTAAACAAATCTAGTTTTTGGTTTATGTATTTTTTCCTTTCATTAGCATATTTAAGTAAACTTGTTTTGATTACAAGGATTTTTACCTTTTAACCAGGGAAATTATATATGAGAATTTTCATTTTAATTATTATTAATATTGATCTCTTTTTTTCGTTTCACATTGTCCATTTATGGTTACATTTATTTAACATTGTTTTGTATTCCATGTGTTTGTAATAATTTTCCCATCATGTTTTATTATGTTTTGTCAATAAAATGTATATAATTGTTACTTTACAAAAAAATGTGTCGTGTGACTAAAGGGTTAACAATAGTCATGACAGAAAATCAATGTGTCTACAAGTGTTTTACAGTGACATTTAATTAGACATATGTGACTAAAAGTAAAAGAAATACAACATTGAAAAGTTTTGTGTCTAGGAAAAGATACACGTCTCACTTTATTTAATAATCATGTGACTATAGGTAATATCACAATAGGGTAAATGTAGTCACACTTAATGAATTTGAGTGTCGATACATCACTAATGGTTACGATTGTATTGATTCGCGATATCTAAACTATGATCAATAGCCACATTGAAAACTATAGGTGTGTCTAAAGGATAACAAATGTTATGGTTATGAAAAATCTGTGTGTCTAAACACTAAACAATAAGGACAATAAACATTAATTGTGTATCTACAATGATTTTATAGTCATGCTTCAATTTAATATACATGACTAAAAACTAAATAGTATTGTCAATGTAGATAAATGTGTGTCAAAATCTTAACATCTGTCACTTATTCTCCACATTCATGTGGCTACATGTTCTACAATAGTCATAGTTATAAAAACATTATGTAACTATATGACGTTTACAACTATGGTTTAAGTATGTATATGTGACTATAATAAAAGTAGTAGCCAAGATACAAGCATAGTGTAATACATGATTTGATTAGTAAAAGATACAAGCATATAGTCGAATGTTAATTGTTCCTTTTTCCCTAACAGGAATAACGATATATTTGAGCCCTTCGATGATTTGTTGTTGACATCTGAAGTACTTAGTCGAGGCTGAACTGAATTCATGGTTTCATTTAGTAGTCTGAATTCAGTTGTCATATACCAAGAAGTCAAGAGACAGAATCTTGGACTATGACATTGATTCTAATCCATGTCTCATGTCCATACAATACCTTATAGAATGAAGGAATATTTGATGACTTATCTTAGGACCAAAGTCTGATCAGATCCGAGATTTTAGTTTCTTTGGGAAGCAACCATGTGTTGTTAATTTAGAAGTTATACTTGCAATTGTAGTTATATACTTATCTAAGTACGAGACTATTGGATTAGGTTTTTGTGCCATTAACAAAATTGACATGTACTTGAACTAATAGTACAATCCTTTTGGGTTGCCCTCAAACGCAGTAACTGATATAATGACTTTTTAGAGAGAAGTTGATTTATTGGTATAATATAAGATTAATAAATAACAACAAATAATATATTAATATATTATGAGAATAATATATTAATTAGGAATAGTATTGTTTTATTAATAATCAATCAAAAACTAATTGGAATTAATTTTTGGATTAACTAGATTAATTAAAAGTATAGGGACTAAAGGTGAAAATGTTCAAAAGTGGGGCATTGAATGATTCCAGAACTTTCCGATATGAGGGGGTGGTTTTGGAGGTTGCTATGGCTTTTTGTAAACCATAGTGAGCAAGAAAATGGATAGTGATTATCCAAGGAAACATGCATTATCCTAGACTCCTTACTAACTTATATAAACCCTTTATGGGTTCATTATTTTCATCCATCCCTTCTCTAAGATCCTTAGAGCCGAAAATTCCAATCTCTCTCATCTTTCTTTTGAAGTCTTCTATTTCTAGGGTGGGTACAAACCATTAGAGGCACAAGATTTCTTGTGCTTGCATATTGAAGCTTGTTCAACAAGGAAGATTGTAAAAACCTTTTATGAATTTCGAAATTAGTAGGGCACTCCTAGGATTTTTGATGTTTAATTTTTTTTATTGCAATCAACAGAGAAAACATAGATTCAATAAATTGAATGTGAAATTAGGGTTATGTTTTCCGCCACACAATTTTATAACATATAAAACCCATCAATATTGTCATCGTCTAAACATCGCCATCAACAATTGAACGTTGACGGACCAGAGAATTCATTACCGATGAAATATGAACCATTAAAACGACCTCTCATAGGTAATCTTATGATTTTATTTATGATATTTGGGGTTTTCAAACTAATTTCACGTATGTATTATTAAGTTCATAATGTTTATAAGGTTGACGATTTAATCATTTATTTGTTATAGTATTTGTTCAAAGGGTAAATAACACACAAAAAAAAAACACTCTTCTTACACAGAAATTCGATTTTGACAGCGTGTTATTTTTTGTGTCAATTTTGACACTGTATTTTTCAATTTGTTACAATTCTGACCACTTGACCGGTTAACCAGGTTACATGATGATGTGTCAATTTTGATGATGTGGCATGCTGACATTATATGATGATGTGTCAAAATTGAATTTTTTTCTCACAAAAAACACTAAATTTTCATTTTTTTTCGATTTTGACACTAAGTTTAATTTATTCTTTCAACTTTGACATTATGTTTTTATGTTCCAAATCGAACATCATTTTTTTTCAATTTTGTTCAATGTTGACAACTTTCTATTTCAAACCGTATAAATATTTTTTAATACATTTAAACCGTATAAATATGTTTTTTTTTCATTTAAAAATCATAGTTTTGTATAAATACATTTTTTTACACTCAAACCATATCTTTATATTATATAAAAATTGTATTTTATACTAAATATGTAACTTTAAAATGTTTTTGGACGTTTCGAGGCATGTAGTCGATCAAAACTCAGATATCAAGTTTGCAACCCATTAAATTTTTGCATCTTATTAGAAGTTTATGGTTAGTTTGATTCTCATTATATAACTAATACTTTGAATGTAAGAAAAAAAACACATCGTATTTAAATAAAAATGTGGTTTTTAAACGAAAATATGTTTATACGGCTTAAAATGTAATAAAAAAAATATATATTTATACGGTTTCAAATGGAAAATAGATAAAATTGAACAAAATTTGATAAATGATGTTCGATTAGAACAAAAAGAACATATAAATTAAAATAAAAAATTAACTTAGTGTCAAAATCGAAAAAAAAAAAGAAAACTTAGTGTTTTTTGTCGAAAAAAAAAAATCAATTTTGACACGTTAGCATGCCACGTCATCAAAATTAACACGTCATCATGTCATGTCAGCATGTAACCTGGTAACCGGTCAATTGGTCAGAATTGTAACAAATTGAAAAACACAGTGTCAAAATTGACAAAAACAAACACGGTGTCAAAATCGAATTTCTGTGCAAAAAGAAAGTTTTTTGTGTCATTTACCCTTGTTAAAAATTTCAAAATTTTCAAGTATGTATCATTGCTCCAACGATCGAAAGAGGGTGGGAATCGTATAAGTCTATTAATAAAAAAGCTACTAAAACTCATTTGTGGTCAATTTGATTATCACAATTCTTTGATTTTCAGTATTACATATTCACTGTATTGTCATTTTTGTTGATGACGTTTTTAGTTTTTCATTCACTTTTTCACAATGGCAAGAATGATTGAGAATTACGTTTCAAACGACAAGGATCTAATGGTTTTATAATCAAAATAAAAAAATGCGTTCAGGAAAACAAGTTTTTCTTTATGATGCTTTTAATATTTATTGGCATACATATATAAATAATTATCCATGGTTATCAGGATCATATTTGAATTTTTATTTATGATTAGAACCAAGAAAAGAATGAATGGCTACCTTTTTCTTTTTCTGCAACCATAACACTCACAAACATTCATTTATAAATCAGTGCATACACAGCATTATAGTTAATAATAGTTATTTTATATCTTTGAAATTGATTTGCATGTGCGAATCCAAAAATAACAATGGTAAAATGTGTCCCCTTTTTGTGCTTGAGTATGATCGGTTTTATAATAAAATATGTTTTGGATATCTTTTATATGCTTCATTCATTTGTGATTACATATGAATTACATCTTTTATGTTTATAGTTTTTTATTAATTATAAATATATGTTTATAGTTTTTTATTGATTATAAATATATTGGTTTTTATATATTTGTATCGTCTTTTCTTCATTTATGATTATAATTGTTTTAAATTATTTGTGTATCTATTGGTATACTAGTATATTTTTTTTGGTGTTTGTATCTTGATTTCTTTAAAGAAACTAATACATTGAACTTTATTCTTTATTGTTACAGATTTATGTTGGTAAATATGGAGAAAAAAAATAAAGGCAACATCATCTTTGTCGGAAGTTACGAAAAAAATGTTTTCTTCATTTGTGATTACAACTGTAAAAATACATTTCAATCAAGATGTATTAGTGAAAAAAATAGTTATAATCATATATGAATACAATATCTCATTTTCTATATGATTTAATAATTTTAAAAAAAAAAAAAAGAACATTATCAATGGTGTTAGTTGTAGTATAACCATTTAGGAATATTAATTGTAGTATAATCTTTTATGAATATCAATGTGTAAATATATTATCCAAACTTTGCCATATACATTTATGAATACAATAGTCCTTGAATTCATTTCTCAATTAATACAAATCTATTATCATATTTATTTTTTATGAAAACCATTAATTAATATATATATATATATATATATATATATATATATATATATATATATATATATATATATATATATATATATATATATATTAAAGAAATGAATCTTAGGAATAGTAAAATTGTTATTTTTTTGTCAGAATTAGTTCGTGTATTATTGTTGGTCTTCAAAGTTAGAAATAGTAAATGTGGATATTTTTCTGGCAACTTTACTCCTTATTCTTTGGCCATTTTGACACTT